CATGTTGCTTTCACCGTATTATCTGGACAAGGCCAGCAGAACACATGGGCTGTGTCTAGACTGGCCACTTTTTCCGGAAAAGCAGGCGCTTTTCTGGGAAAACTTCCAACAAAAGGCTGAGGACTTACCCTTTGATCGGACCAACCTCTTTGCAGCTAAGACCAATGAGGTATTGCATTCTATGAAGGACTCCCATACAACCCTTAGGACCCTAGGAATGTACACTCCATTTAAGAGAACCAGATATCAGCCTTATCAACGACCGAGAGAACCATTCCGCCAACAACCCAGATTTGATTTCCGCAAACAGAGATCTCAACATCGTAGACCACAGCGACAACAGCGACAACATGCCACACCCCATCCACCATCCGGCAAGCAGCAGGTTTGAAGGTCAGGTCGAGAGCCAGGAAGCCAATCCACTGACATTCCCAACTGTTCCACCGCCCCCTCCGAGCTTTTTTCCATCAACGGTCCCTCATCACCTTGGACAGATGGGTCTTGAACTTAGTCCAATCTGGCTACATCATCCCCTTCACCTCTCTTCCTCCCAACCACCTCCCTACCCCATCCCTTTTCAGGGACCCCTCTCACGAAACTGTCCTCCTGCAAGAGGTTTCACACCTTCTTCAACTGGGCACAGTAGAACACATACCAACCCAATTTTGAGGCCGGGGCTTCTACTCAACGTACTTCCTAACCCAGAGGAAGACAGGAGGTTGGAGCCCCATCCTAGACCTCAGGCGCCTCAACAAATACATCGCATACCACCGTTTCAAGATGGTTACCCTCTCAGCTATCATTCCCGCACTCGATCAACACGATTGGCTTTCGTCTCTCAACCTTCAGGACGCATATTTCCACATTACAATCCATCCTGCTCACAGACGCTTCTTCTGATTTACAGCGGGTACCCAGCACTACCAATACAGGGTGCTCCCGTTTGGACTCTCCACAGCCCCTAGGGTATTCTCCAAAACCCTGTGGGTCGTAATGGCCTTTCTTCGACGTCAAGGCATCATAATATTCCCGTATCTGGACGATTGCCTCATAAAAGGTGCATCCTTCGACGAAACGAAGTCCATGACAGATACCACAATAGCCCTTTTACTCAGCCTCAGGTTTCACGTAAATTATGCAAAATCCATTCTACACCCAACACAAAGACTGGAGTTCACAGGTGCCCTCCTCGACACAGTCGCAGCAAGGGCCACTCTTCCCGAACACAGGTTCGCGACGATCTGCGACCTTGTCCGAGCGGCACAAGCGGTACCGACCGTCACGGTCCGCCACTGCCTCAAAATCCTCGGACATATGGCTTTTACGACCTACGTCGTCAGTTTGGCCAGACTCCACATGAGACCTCTTCAGTCCTGGCTCGCAACGGTTTACAGACCCTTCAGAGACCACCTCTCCAAGTCCGTCGCCATCCCACCATGCATCATCAACTCCCTGCTCTGGTTGACAATTCCTCAAAATATGTTGCTCGGCGTTGCCTCAAAATCCTCGGACATATGGCTTTTACGACCTACGTCGTCAGTTTGGCCAGACTCCACATGAGACCTCTTCAGTCCTGGCTCGCAACGGTTTACAGACCCTTCAGAGACCACCTCTCCAAGTCCGTCGCCATCCCACCATGCATCATCAACTCCCTGCTCTGGTTGACAATTCCTCAAAATATGTTGCTCGGCGTTCCCTTTCAATGCCCACCTTCCACTCTCACTCTTATAACAGATGCATGGGATGGGGAGCTCACTTGGGAAACATTACAGCCCACATCAACCTCCTCGAGCTTCGGGCAGTCAGATACGCATGCCAACACTTCACTCAGCATATAGTCCACAAGACCATCACCATTATGATGGACAATACCACCTGCATGTACTACATCAACCGTCAGGGTGGCGCTTGATCCCCTTCCCTGTGCTCGGAAGCCACCAAGCTCTGGACCTGGTGCCTAGCACATGGAGTCACCCCGTCCGCTGTCTATCTTCCCGGAATACTCAATGTCACAGCAGACACCCTAAGCCATACGTTCATGGACCAGCACAAGTGGGAGATCGACAGACGCGCCCTCACCCCGATCTTCCTTCACTGGGGCCCCTTCCCCCCCGTTCCCACTTCTACACAAGGGCCTCAACAAGATCAGAACGGAGCAAGCGCTGGTCATTCTAGTGGCACAAGTGAGAGATATCCTAATTAATAGTAGGAGATGTTCCACCAGGAAAACCTACCTGTATAAGTAGATGCGTTTCTCCCAATGGTACACTCAAACCCACGCAAGCCCACCACACCTTGCTCCTATACATACCTTATTGGACTATCAACTATCTCTGAAACAGTCCGGCCTCGCACTTAGCAGTATCAAGGTCCACGCTGCAGCCATAGTGGCTTTTCACCATTTCCCGCAGGGCGCTTCCTTTCTCGCTAACCCACTGACCAAGCGTTTCTTTAAGGGTCTGCAGAATACCTTTCCTCCGGTCCGGCCACCAGTTCCCATTTGGGACTTGAACCGTGTTCTGAAGAGCCTGACAAAACCTCCTTTCGAACCAATAGCTTCTTGCTCCTGGTCTCACTTGTCTATGAAAGTAGCCTTCCTCATCGCCATTACCTCCAGTAGGAGGGGGAGTGAACTTGCGGCCTTAATGGCTGATGCTCCATACACCGTATTTTCAAAGGACAGGGTGATACTTTGACCCCACCCTAAGTTCCTCCCTAAAGTACCCTCCCCCTTCCACGTGAACGAACCAATACACTTACCTGCCTTCTTTCCGAAACCACACACAGACCCGATCCAGACCGCGTGGCACACCCTTGACGTACGACGAGCCTTGGCGTTTTACGTAGATCGCACGAAACCCTGGTGAGCCTCGCCTAGACTTTTTATCTCTTATGCTGAAAGATCTAAGGGACAAGCAGTCTCATCGCAAAGAATCTCTAAATGGATTACATCCTGCATTAAAACTTGTTATACCCTATATGGCAAGGACTTACCTGGAGCTATCACAGCTCATTCCACTAGGGCAGTAGCTTCCACGACCGCCTTTCTTCATAACGTTCCACTGCAGAACATCTGCAACGCTGCTACCTGGTCAACTGACCACTCGTTTGCGCAACACTATCCTCTTTCCACCTCGATAGCATCCTCTATGGCAGTTGGACAAGCAGTGTTATCCCCAATCCAGACCGCATGGCACACACCTGACGTCCGACGAGCCTTGGCGTTTTACGTAGATCGCACGAAACCCTGGAGAGCCTCGCCTAGACTTTTTATCTCTTACGCTGAAAGATCTAAGGGACAAGCAGTCTCATCTCAAAGAATCTCTAAATGGATTACATCCTGCATTAAAACTTGTTATACCCTATATGGCAAGGACTTACCTGGAGCTATCACAGCTCATTCCACTAGGGCGGTAGCTTCCACGACCGCCTTTCTTCATAACGTTCCACTGCAGAACATCTGCAACGCTGCTACCTGGTCAACTGACCACTCGTTTGCGCAACACTATCCTCTTTCCACCTCGATAGCATCCTCTATGGCAGTTGGACAAGCAGTGTTATCCACATTTATTACCACACGGCTCCAAACCCACCTCTGCGAGCCGACAACTGCTGTGTAGTCACTCCCAAGACAATTTAATGATAAGATACACCTATAAACCAATTAATGGCAGGTGACACTTGCTCGAATGTTTCAGCAAATGAAAGGATGAATAATATTGATTTACTGAATTCTAACAGGGACCAGAGACTTTGTATTATTTTCCCAGAAGAATTTGAGTTGTAGAATCATCGAACCACAAAGCTAGAAGTGACCACTAGGGTCAAATAGTCTAACCCGCTGCCAACACGCAGGGTTTGTTTGCTTAGCCTCCTTTCGCAAGTCTTTACTGAAGGAGCTTCCATGACCTCCCTAAGCAGTCTATTCCATTGTCTTGGTGTTCTTTCAGTGAGGAAGTTTTTCTGAGATTTAATCTAAATTGACTATGTTGTAGTTTGAACCCATTTCCTTTTGTCTTGCCCTTTGTGACAAGAGAGAACAATTTTTCTTCATCTTTTTTATGGCAACCTGTTAGGTATTTGAAGACTGCTATCATGTCCCCGTACATCAGAAGCAGGAAAAAGCCTGCTCAACAGCCAGCGGGGGCCACTTGACCCTCAAAATGCTAAAGGAGCACTCCAAGACCATTAGGTCGTTGGAGAAACTAAATGAATTCTTCGCTTTCGTCTTCACAGCTGACGCTGGAGTTTGGGAGATTCCCAAAGCTGAGCAATTCTCTGGAGCTGACACATCGGAGGAATTGTCCCAGACTGAGGTGTCACTAGAGGAGCTTTCGGAAGCAACGCATAAAACTTCACCGTGACAAGTCGGCGGGACCAGACGCCATTCACCCAAGAGTTCTGAAAAGAAGAAGAAGACACCCTTTTAGATATTTGAAAACCGCTATCATGTCCCCCCTTAATCTTCTTTTTTCCAAACTAAACAAGCCCCGTTCATGAAGCCTGGCTTCATAGGTCATGTTCTCTAGACCTTTAATCATTCTTGTCACTCTTCTCTGTACCCTTTCCAATTTCTCCACACCTTTCTTGAAATGTGGTGCCCAGAACTAGACACTTCTATTGAGGCCTAATCAGCGCAGAGTAAAGCGAAAGAATTACTTCTTGTCTTGCTCATAACACTCCTGTTAATGAATCCCAGAATTATGTTTGCTTTTCTTGCAGTAGTGTCATGCTGTTGACTCATATTTAGCTTATGGTCCACTATGAACCTTAGATCTCATTCTGCAATACTCCTTCCTAGACTGTCTCTTCCCATTCTGTATGTGTGAAATGAATTTTTCTTTCTTGCATTTGTCCTTATTAAACTTCATCCTATTTACCTTAGATCATTGCTCTAGTTTGTCAAGATAATTTTGAATTATGACCTTATTCTCTAAAGCACCTGCAAACCCCTCCCAGCTTGGTATCATCTGCAAACTTAAGGAGTGCACTCGCCATTATCTAAATCATTTATGAAGATATTGAACAGAACCAGTCCCAAACAGACCCCTATGGAACCACACTTATGCCCTTCCAGCATGACTGTAAAACATTAATAACTGTTTTCTGAGAATGGTTATTCAACCAGTTATGCACCCACCTTATAATAGCTCAACCTAGTTCTTCAAAACTGGTGAGGTTGTGCTGCTTTTGCCCATGGTATACTTACCTGTTTTATGGATATCAAGAATTGACTTCCAGTTCTTTAATATAATAGTTGTGCAACAAGCTAAACTTAGGTGTGTGGAGGAAAAAAAAAGAGAGGAAAAATCCTCAAGTATGCAGCTGGCCTTTTGGCTCTTGGAAAGGTAAATGCTGACCTTCAGTCAACCTTGCTATATTCAGTTATCCCACATTCCCTGACAGACATCTGCATTCAGCAATGTAAACACTGCCCTGTTATCAGTCCTGTGTCAAGGTAAGGCTGTAGTATAAAGAGACTACTGCAGAACAAAATGATGTATTTTTCATACCCTACTGCAAGAATGAAATTCATCGTGCTAATTCTGCTGATTTCAGGTATGTCTGCATCATTCATTCATTCTCACACACTAAAGTTGGCTGGCTATTTTGCACATGCATCAGAGTCATGGAGGGTATGCTCAATTTGCCATACACATGGGAACCCATGGAAAGTGACAGCTGGACAGTGGGATGCTGATTCACCTTCAGAAACTGCCTGTGCAGAACCCCATTCTTAATAGGCAGAAGCATTAGAGTTTTAACTTCAAAAACCTACAAATCAGGTCCCTAATATCAGGTTGGTTTCAGCTATCAGGGAACCAGAGTGGGCACATCTGAGACATGAACACCAACTGTGGGCTAATATCAGATGTAACTCCAACCTGAGTGTTTGTGTTTCTTCCTAGTGGGTGCGGCCAGTGCCACTACCTCCCCCTTGGCTTTGTGGCAGTTCCGCGAGATGATCAAATGCACTATCCCGAACAGCAACCCACTAATGGATTATAACAACTGGCACTGGAACACCAGTGGATGCCCTTGACAGGTTGGTGAGAATTTGCTTTCTCAAAACTCTTCCCTCTCTATGTAGCTAAATCTGCAGCTCATGCTTCCAGCCCTTTCCTGTAGGTGTTTGGAGAATATTCCTGGCTATTATGACATTCAGAGACAAAAAGTTGGGTTGCTTGGTATTTCACTGTGTCTGTTCTCAGGAATTACATGTCATCTGAGTAGCTCCCCTTCTTTCACTCTTCTGTTGGTGATTGTTATTGAAGAGCTGAAGTGAATGTGTGGTAGCAACTCATATTGCAAGGGTGCTAAATAGCAGCCAAGAGAGATTAGCATACGTCATAAGATTTTGTAACCAAGTGACCCAAGACTGAGAATTTGGCCCCTTAACTGATAGATTATTTTCCCATCAGAGGTGGCCTCTTCTTCAAAGTATTGTCTAAACCAGGGCTCTCAAACTCAGTTTACCTTAAGGCCAGTACCAGTCCTTAAATCTTCCTCCTAGTGGGCCAGTAGGCACCCCTCTCTGGCAGGACTCTGGAAGTACAGGGGTCTCCGTGCATTCCCCCTTAGGCAATTAAAAACCTGCCAGGAGCCTTTGTCACCATTAAGGGCAGGGCAGCAGGGCTAGAATGGCTTCCTGCTGCTAGTTCCATGCCACTGCCAGCACAGCCTTGTGGCTCAGGGGATGTGTCTCCAGAGCCATAAGTGCAAACTGTGAAACTATTAACTCATTTTGAGAAACTGACTAGATACCAGTGATGCCAACTCTCCAGTTTTGATCACAAGCCTTCTGATAATTGAGGGGTTTTTTTTCCTGGAAAGCCTCAACCTCATTAGAATTAATCCAGCTCTGGGAACTTTACTACCTGATGCCTCATACACTGCTATCAACTGTGATCACTCAGTAGATTATGCTTGCTTTTTGGTACATGGTGTTAGAAGAAAATCCCAGCCTTTTTCTTTTATTTTTTTTTAAAGGAAGACTTTAGATCTCATGGTTTGTGGAGAAAAGCTAGAAAACATGCCCTGAGTTCCACCAAAGACCTCAAACACCAGACACCAAATAAGAAGATCCTCAAAGTGTATTTTTATCTGATTTCAATAAGCCATTCTCTTTTTGGAGGAGGGGGCTGATTAATGAGTTTTGAATGTTTGGAGTTGGCAATATACTACATGCAAGTTGATACTGTCTCTCCCTGTGTCCAGCTGCCCAGACACACCAGGATCTTACAAAAGATATGAAAATAGTCCTCACCCTGACACCCACACATCTTTGCATTGGACTGTCCCCCCTTCCCTTCTAAAATCTGTGCCCTTGCACTGTAATAGTGCCTGCACTCCCTGCCAACACCCACATCTTCATGCTGGGATCCCCTGCCCTGTGTAACTGAAAGTGAAATGCACTGGCCCCACTGACTGCAGAAGCGAGTCAGCGCAGCACAGTGCAGTTCACATGGTAGCAGAAGCAGCCAGTATGTCACCCTAATTAATGAGCCTAATTAACTTTTTCAGAATATTTTGCAAGCCTGACAGGGGAAAGGCTCAGGCCATTTGGCCTCTGCTCTGCAAGACTGAGACTTTGTCCAGACAATCCACCCTAGTTAGATAACTTAGAATAAGCCAGCTGAACTCAAGTCTGGTTATAGGGTTCTGAATGTAGGAATGTTAGTGACTCGCTGGATAACCATTTAACCAAGTGATTGCTCATGGGTAAACAGTCCTGGTTAAGCACAACAACCCCCTCTCCCCATGTGCTCTGCATATAAAACTCAGACTGCAGGCTGGCTCAGTCCCAGCCCATTGGTCTGAGTTTTAAATAAAGAGCACGCAGGAGAACTGTCTGCCACCCTGTGCCACTGCCACTGATACTGGGTAGGCAGGGTGGCAAGTGGGAGCTGGTCTATGGGAAGCTGGTTTAAAAATTGGCTCTGTGGGATGCCAGAGCAGCTGGGAGCTCTGGTCCTCCCCAGACAGGGACTGCTGCTGCTGCCCCACATTGCTGCCTCTGTGCGGGGCGCAAGCAGAAGCTGGTTTAGTCAGGGACCTGATTAAACAGATACAGAGGCAGCAGTGCAGGGGACTCCCCAGGAGTGGAGCTGGGAGCACACTCAGGCATGGGGAGAGGGTGGGAGGGTGTGTGTGCGTGCGAGAGAGAGAAGTGCAAAAGCACTCCCCTATGCTCCCCCAAGTAAGCATGCTCTAGCTAGGCAGGGGAAGGCAGGAGCAGCACACTGCCTGAGCCTCCCTCCCCCATGCTCTGACCAGCCATGGGAAGGCTGGGGCTGATTTTCCCACTTGCTTGGGGAAACCTGGGAGGTGCATTCACACCCTTGCAGTCCACATTTACAAAAAAAAGTGCCCCCCCAATTGTTATGATTACACTATTACTAAAACAATTTCTAACATCCCTTTCTGAATGTATTTCTCATTGTTTCACAGGTGCTGTCAAGTGCATGATAACTGCTATTCTCAGGCCAAGAAGCATCCAGAGTGTAAGGGACTCCTGGACAACCCCTACACCGAGTTGTACTCCTATAGCTGCTCAGGCAGCACCATTACCTGTAATGGTATGTCTGCTTTTCTGTTATTTCACTTCAGCCACTGTTTTACTTGTATGGGTCTTTGGTCTAAGCTGAATCTCCTTCAGTAGGAAAGTGGTTCCTAAAAGCAGGCTCCACACCATGCCATCACCTGCTTCAGCAGAGCTGGTGTTTGCTAGAAGTGGGTACACTTCCCCCGAGACACTGTAATAACACAGCCCAAGTTCGAAAGGCCTCAACTCCTTAGGATCACACAGATCCATATATGGGATACACATCAAAGGACAAAGCCCTTTGCTTGAAGCTCAACTTATCAGGACTGTGTTTTGCTAGTTATGAAATGTGCAATTTAATATGAAATGTGGTTTGCCCAAGTATGGCTGCATTTCAGTAGTAGTGTGTGTTTGAAGTACTCTGTAAAGTGACTTGAGAGGGAGCAGGTACCAGCAGGAAGAGAAGAGGCAGACCAGGATGGGCAATAATTTTTCATGGGGGGGCCCACACCAAGATTTTGGCAAGTGGTCAAAGGCTGCATTTCTACCAAGGGAGGTTGGGATCTGGGTCAGAGGTTGGGTGCAGAAGGGAGCTTGGGGTAGGACACTGGGTGCAAGAGAGGGTGTGGAGTTTGAGAGAGAGTTTGGGTGAAGGAGGGGATTGTGATCTGTGGCAGAAGCTTGGGGTGCAGAGTCCAGAAGGTGGTTTGGGTGCAGGAGAGGATTCTGGTCTGAGGGAGGGACTCTAGGCAAGGGTGCAGAGTCTGGGAGGGAGTTGTGACCTGGGTGAAGCAGGTGCAGAGGGTTTGGGGCCAAGCAGCTGTGGAGAAAGGGAATGGGAGTGCCAGTGGCAGGCTCTGGCTAGGAGACACTTACCAAGGCAGCTCCCAGTCAGCAGCCCTGCAGGAACCTGAAGGCTGCAGTTGCAAGCTGCTCCATGTGACTCTGCTCTGGGCAGGGAAGGGAAGGAGGCTTCATTGGCTTCCCCTACCCCCAACAAAAAAATTCCACGAGTACAAAGCCTCCCTCCTTGCTCCAGAATAGAGCACCCACATTTAAAGCAGCTGCCTGGGGGCTGTGCTTAAGGATTTTAGGGAGGCAGCTGCAGGCTGGATCTGGTGGCTTGGCAGGCTGCATCTGGCCCATTGGCAGCCTCTTGCCTACCCCTGGAGTAGATCTATTTTAGTTTGTGGGCTTCACTTGCCAGCAAAGAGTCACATTGGCCACATATTTTCCTGCCTGCCACCTAGGAAAAATTAAATCATTGTTAGTTTGAAACTCCTCCCTTAACCCAGCTATTGCTCAAACACTTAACTGAAAGAACTTAAAAAAACAACAATGGTTCTGTAGCATCTTGAAGACCAACAAAAATATATAAGTAGTATCATGAGCTTTGGTGGGCACAACCCACTTCTTCAGAAGACAAATATTATGGAGCAAAGGGAACATATTTTAAAATATAAAGCAGAAAAAGAGGCAAGAAGGGGAGTAGAAACAAAAAAAGAAAAACTGTCAAAGTATCCATTAAAAAAACAACAATGGTTCTGTAGCATCTTGAAGACCAACAAAAATATATAAGTAGTATCATGAGCTTTGGTGGGCACAACCCACTTCTTCAGAAGACAAATATTATGGAGCAAAGGGAACATATTTTAAAATATAAAGCAGAAAAAGAGGCAAGAAGGGGAGTAGAAACAAAAAAAGAAAAACTGTCAAAGTATCCATGCCAACTAAATGAAGCTAATAGAGTAGGCTGTCAATGTAAGTCTTCTCTATTAGCCTCATTTCACATGGACACTTTGGCTATGTCTACACTCGTGGCTTCTTGTGCGAGTAATATGCAAATGAAGCTAAGCGTGGAATATCACCAAGCCTCATTTGCATACCTAATGAGCCACCATTTTTTTCAGAAGAGGCTCTTGCGCAAGAAGCGTCTACACTGCCCCTCCTTGCGCAAGAAAAACCCTCTTGTGCAATGCCATTACACCTATTACTTTTCAGGAATAATAGCATTGCGCAAGAGGGTTTTTCTTGCGCAAGAAGGGGCATTATAGACGCTCCTTGTGCAAGAGCCTCTTCTGAAAAAAATGGTGACTCATTAGGTATGCAAATGAGGCTCGGCGATATTCCATGCTTAGTCTCATTTGCATATTACTCACCCAAGAAGCCGCGAGTGTAGACATAGCCTTTGAGGGATTTTTTTCTCCTTTCTTTTTTCTCTTCCATCTCTCCCCTTTTTCTGCTTTATATTTCAAACTCCGTGTCCCTTGCTCCATAATATTTGTCTTCTGAAGTGGGTTGTGCCTACCAAAGCTCATGATGCTATGTATATACTTTTGATAGTTTCAGAGTGGTAGCTGACTTAATCTGTAACTGGAAAAACTTACAAAACAACTAGTCTAGCAGGACCTTAAAGACTAACAAAACATGTAGATGGTATCCTGAGCTTTTGTGGGCACAACCCTCTTCAGATGAAGATCTTTCAGCTGCCCCCTTCTCCCGCCCTCTATTTTAGCTACACAGAACAGAGAGGGGGACACATCAGAGTTTGGGATGGAGGGAGTTAGTTGGCTGCTTTTGTGAATGATGCAGGACCAGGGCAGGGGTGAGCCTGCCTTAGCCCTACTACACCACTGCCCAGAAGTCACCTGTGGTAAGCAGTGTCCAGCTGGAGGCTGCATCCAGAATCCCTCTCACAGTCATGTACCCACCCTGCATCCCAAGCTCCTGCCCTAAGCACCCCTAGACCCAAACTCCTTTACAGAGCCTTACCCTACACCCCTTTCTACATCCCAAGTCCTGCCCCAAGCTCATCTCAGAGCCTCTCCCGCACCCCACACTCCAAATCCCTTAGCCTAAGACCAGAGCCTGCACCCCAACCCTCTGCCCTCACCGGTGAAAGGGAGAGAGGATGGAGTGAGCAGGAGTAGAACCTCAGAGAAGGGGCACCAAGGAAGCAGGGCAAAGGTATTTGGGTTTGAGGCAGATCCTGGATTGCACTTCAAGTCAAAAAGTGATCTTATCCCTTACAAGGCAGGAGACCCCTGCTGTGCAGTGCTACAGGACCTTTGGGCTACGTCTACACTGGCGCCTTCTTGTGCAAGAACATCTCACACAAGGGTTCTTGTGCAAGAACACGTCCACACTGCCATGTGCGAGCTGTGCTTTTCTGCAAGAGCATCCATGCCAGTGTAGACGCTCTCTTGCACAAGAAAGCTCTGACGGCCATTTTAACCACAGGGCTTTCTTGCGCAAGAAACCCCTGCGGTGCGTCCACACTGCCCTCTTGCACAAGAGGGCTTACACCAAAGTGCATAGCTCTTGTGCAAGAAGCCCTCTCTTACCAGTCCCTTGCACGAGAGCCGGCGGGTGTGTGGACGCTCAGCAGGCCCTTGTGTGGCTTTGTGATAGAATACCCACCCACAGGAAAATAAGGTGAGAAGTGATCCTCTTGGGCAGAGCTTCTCTGTAAGTTCTTGTGCATACAGGACCATTTTTCCAAGGGCAGTGCTGGGATCCTGACCTGTGTCTCATTTGAAGCATGTGACTTTCAATTGATGAGAATGCTGGCTCAGTGCCAATGAGGTGCCAAGTTCCCTCTTCCAAGAGACAAAGGTATCTACAGAACAAACCCCATGAGGGTGTCCTGCCCCACAGAGTGAGGTACAACCCTCATCTCTTAGTGCCCCATGGGATACGTAGGTGTCACAGAGCGAGAGGCCATGCGTAACAGGTCCATTGAACACTAGAACTGAAAGGGAATTTGGGAGGTCAACTCCAGTCCCCTGCTATCACCAAGCTTCAGCTAGATCATCCTGGACAGATGTCTGACTAACCTGCTCTTAAATATCTCCTGCGATGGAGAGTACACAACCACCCCAGGCAATTTATTCCAGTGTTTAACCACCCTCACAGTTTTTCATAATGTCCAACCTAAACCTCCCCTGCTGCAGTGTAGGCCCATGGCTTTCTCCTGTCATCATAGGCCAAGAAGAACAATTTTTCCCCTCCTCCTTGTAAACCCCTTTTACATACTTGAAACCCACTCTCACGCCCCCTCTCAGGTGTCTCCTGTCTAAACACAACCCATAACAACCAGTAGGGCAGGACTGGCCCATGACGACCCCACACCCACTCCCCCTTTCATTAGTGATAGAGATGCAACCCTGTTAGTCTGGTCTAGCTGAAACAAAAGACAGGACTATACAGCACTTTAAAGACTAACAAGGTGGTTTAGTAGGTGATGAGCTTTCGTGGGCCAGACCCACTTCCTCAGATCAAATAGTGGAAGAAAATAGTCACAACCATCTATACCAAAGTGATACAATCAAAAAAATGAAGGCATGTGAAATTGACAAATCAAATTTTAGGACAGAGTGGGGGTGGGGGGGGAAGGTTAGTGTCTCTGAGGTAATGACATAGGAGTGATAATAGGGGAAGTTTCTGTGAGGTAATGACATTAGGGGTGATAACTGGGGAAGCTTTGGTATAGATGGTTGTGCTGATTTTCTTCCACTATTTGATCTGAGGAAGTGGGTCTGGCCCACGAAAGCTCATCACCTACTAAACCACCTTGTTAGTCTTTAAAGTGCTGTATAGTCCTGTCTTTTGTTTCAGCTAGACCAGACTAACAGGGTTGCATCTCTATCACTAATGAAAGGGGGAGTGGGTGTGGGGTCGTCATGGGCCAGTCCTGCCCTACTGGTTGTTATGGGTTGTGTTTAGACAGGAGACACCTGAGAGGGGGCGTGAGAGTGGGTTTCAAGTATGTAAAAGGGGTTTACAAGGAGGAGGGGAAAAATTGTTCTTCTTGGCCTATGATGACAGGAGAAAGCCATGGGCCTACACTGCAGCAGGGGAGGTTTAGGTTGGACATTATGAAAAACTGTGAGGGTGGTTAAACACTGGAATAAATTGCCTGGGGTGGTTGTGTACTCTCCATCGCAGGAGATATTTAAGAGCAGGTTAGTCAGACATCTGTCCAGGATGATCTAGCTGAAGCTTGGTGATAGCAGGGGACTGGAGTTGACCTCCCAAATTCCCTTTCAGTTCTAGTGTTCAATGGACCTGTTACGCATGGCCTCTCGCTCTGTGACACCTACGTATCCCATGGGGCACTAAGAGATGAGGGTTGTACCTCACTCTGTGGGGCAGGACACCCTCATGGGGTTTGTTCTGTAGATACCTTTGTCTCTTGGAAGAGGGAACTTGGCACCTCATTGGCACTGAGCCAGCATTCTCATCAATTGAAAGTCACATGCTTCAAATGAGACACAGGTCAGGATCCCAGCACTGCCCTTGGAAAAATGGTCCTGTATGCACAAGAACTTACAGAGAAGCTCTGCCCAAGAGGATCACTTCTCACCTTATTTTCCTGTGGGTGGGTATTCTATCACAAAGCCACTGGGAACTTCAGCAGCTTATATACACTAGGGTAGGCTCCTGCAACAGCAGCAATACATATCCTCATGTGTCAGGGCCTAGAATGGGAAGGGCCAGAAGTCTCTGCTTTTTAAAAGGAAGATACTCTTCTGGCTTCCATTCCCATTCAGGGTAGCTTTACTGCCTGCCTTTCTTTAGGGAAGAGTAGGATGGAGACCTTGGATGAGTTTGACAATGAGTATCCCCTCAGTATAACATTCTGCAAGCTGATGCAATACATATCCTCATGTGTCAGGGCCTAGAATGGGAAGGGCCAGAAGTCTCTGCTTTTTAAAAGGAAGATACTCTTCTGGCTTCCATTCCCATTCAGGGTAGCTTTACTGCCTGCCTTTCTTTAGGGAAGAGTAGGATGGAGACCTTGGATGAGTTTGACAATGAGTATCCCCTCAGTATAACATTCTGCAAGCTGATTTCCCCCGAGGACTTTGAAGGACAATCTTTATCCTACACTGAGCAGTGCCTACAGGAACTGTATAGAAACATGGAGCAAAACCCAGGGATCTGTGAGAGGGTCATGCGAAAGCGGAAGCAGATGGAGAAAGAGGCAGCTGGCCTGGCATCATTTTTAAAGGTACCTGCATTGCCTTCCTGGCTAACAGCTTTCCCCTCCTCTTCCAAAATATCTGAGATTATTGGGTGGAGGGAGATTTTATCAGGAATTACAGTTAGGCTGTGTCTAGACTGCATCCCTTTTCCGTAAAAGGGATGCAAATTAGACACATCACAATTGCAAATGAAGCAGGGATTTAAATCCCCCCTGCTTCATTTTCATAAACATGGCTGCTGCTTTTTTTCCGGCTCGGAGCTTTGCTGGAAAAAAGCGCCAGTCTAGACGGGGATCTTTCAGAAAATAAAGCCTTTTCCGAAAGATCCCTTATCCCTTGGAAGGGCGGCTGGCTGGAGCCAGGCGGCACGTGGGGGTTTTAATCAGTCCCTGCCTGGACCGTAGCTGTAAGAGTTCCACGCACTATCTGCACCTACCCAGGCAGCTCGGCCTTCCTCATCTCTGAGCCCACCTCCCTGATTCCCAGCATGCCTCTGGCCGCAAGGTGCATACGTGGGCCACCGGAAGGATAACAACCTACTACAGCTCTCAGTTCTACTTCTTCCACTCTGGCCCCAGTCCGCCCCGTGAGTCCAGTTCTCTCGACCACGAAGGTCTAGGAAAGGCCAGCTGCACGGGGAGATCTCTGCAAGCGCATGAGGAGGGCACAGAGCTGGGGAGGCTGGAATGAGCCCCGCTGAGCCCAGCCTCCCTTGGGCCGATCGATCCCAGCAGAGGCCTTAGCTCCATGTTCACAGGCGGGATCACAGGCCTTGGAATAAGGGATCTTTCGGAAAAGGCTTTATTTTCCGAAAGAACCCCGTCTAGACTGGTGCTTTTTTCCGGCAAAACCCCGAGCCGGAAAAAAGCGGAAGCCATGTTTATGCAAATGAAGCGGGGGGGATTTAAATCCCCGCTTCATTTGCAATTGCGATGTGTCTAATTTGCATCCCTTTTACGGAAAAGAGACGCAGTCTAGACACAGCCTTAGAGTGTGTCTCGAGTTGGAGCCATGAATTCTGACTGCTCTAGTAATGAGACAAATCACCTTGTAGTTTTGCACCACCACTCCTTTCCTGTTTCTCCTTAGATTGCTGATGTCTGTGCCACAAGAGGAGGAAAAAGTCTCTTTTCCAAATGGTACATCAGCTTTCCTGAAACCTTCAGTCCTATCAGGATTCACCCCTGTCCCCAGCATAGAAAAACCTAGATGTAGCACCATCACTTTACCTGAACCAATTTCTTCTGGGACTAGAGAATGAAGTGCTATCTTGAGACCAGCCCTCTAGTCTCTATCTGTTTTCAGATTATTCTCAGATCACAATTTTCAGAGTGATCCAGGGCATAAGTGGAGTTAAATGTTATTGAAATAACAGGTTGTGGTGATATATGTTTAGCCTATCAATAGGAATCCTGATTTCCACTAGTGGCAAATTATAGGAGCAAATTCCCCTGACATCATGGAAGAATACAGTTTTTGAAGGTTTGGGTGTTAGTTTGTTTGCTGGGGGAGAGTGCAGGGAATAGCATTTGGAATTGACAGAATAAGTGACACTGAAGCTATTGTATTTCCTCCTTTTCCCTATAGTAAAGGATCCTTAGGTTGACTCAGACTCTGTAGCTCTCTATCTGCTCTGTGACATTAAGTTTCCCTTCATTACAACCCATGTAAGTCTAATGGAAGGCTGAAGGCACCTGACAACTCTTTATGTCACTGCCCTGGTGTGTAAATGAGCCTTAAAATGAGTGTAAATACTCCCCTGAGACTGCCCCTTGTCCAGGGAGCTGCCTGACCAGTGCAAAAACTCTGGTTTTACAGGTACTAGGGATGTTACATTTTGATTAACTAATCGAATAGTCGATGGGCTTCGACTGTTCAGTTAGTCAATAAGTTCTAGTGCAGCATTCCGCCTTTGAAATGTACAAAAGCCCCAACAGGGGCTCTTGTGCATTTCAAAGACTGAAACACCAGATGGAGCCTGGGGCCAGCGGGGAGTCTCCCACTGACCTCGGGCTCCATGAAGACCCTGGGCCCCACATGGCATTTCAATCTTTGAAATGCACAAGAGCCCCTGCTGCCCCAAGCTCCATGCAGTGCTTCCGCTTTGAAATGTACAACAGCCCCAGCAGGGACTCTTGTACATTTCAAAGTTGGAACACCACCCAATGCACCCCTGCCTCTTCTCCCGGTGCTTTTAAGGGGGGAGTGCTTTTAAACCGGCTCCCCCAGCATCCCTCCACTCCCCCACTCCCCCGGTTTCATTCTAATAGAGGCAGCAAGGAGATGGCGGAAGCGACTAGTAGACCAGTGTGTCGACTATCCGATAAGCTTTTGCTTATCCGATAGTCGATTAGTTGCTTACACCCCTAACAGGTACTGTTGTATTGTGACTCCCCCCCTCCCCCCATCATTCCTGGTTCATAGCATAGGAGTGCATTGAAGGAATGACCAGACTGCTTAGGACTTCAGCTGTTCTCTGCTTAACCAGGTTCATATGGGGCTGTGCGAAGCAGAATGTTAGAGTAGTCCACAGACTGCTGCAGTTTACACAGGGGAACCAGGGGAAGGCACACCCCTACTCATCATCAGAATAGGGTAAAAAAGATAGCTTAATGCCACTCTTGTGATTTCAAATCACTAACACTCCCATTGCACACAGAGCCTAGTTACTCTGTTCCTGTACTTGAGGCAGGGATGGAAGCCGTGGGAAGAACAAACAATATCAGAGTCATAAGAGCTGATATGTGAGATACTGGAGAGTACACTTTGGTTATTAGCAGCATTCACTGCAGAGGCAAACAGCTGTGCCTTACCCTGCCTTTCCCCCCCAATGTTGTTTTCTAGGCCAAGTTTTTCTGGACACTTCAGGGAGAGATGAATTACTGTAACAATGTGGGGATTGCGGAGATGCAAGAGAAGGTGATGCAGCTGAAACGAGACATGCAGAAAGTGAACAACTATGCTCGGGGTAATCCCTGTGCTTCAGTCTCCATTTAAGCCTGCAGAACAATTCTAGGAAGTTTCCCTTCTTGGTTTCTCCTCTCACCCACAGGCATATTGCATATAGCAATGTTATAACAACGCCTTTCC